TAAATAAATATATATTTTCTGTAAAATTAGAGGGGCCTTTTCGGAAAGCTTAAGGAAAATCATTTTAATATAGGAAAATAAACTCTGGAATTTAATTTTAAAAAGGAATTGTGGAAAGAAACACTAGAATGAAACGCTGGAAAGGAACACTAGAATGAAGCTCTGAAATGGAACACTAGAATGAAACTTCGAAATAGAACTCTAAAATTAAACTCTAGAATTGAACTCCAGAAAAGAACTTCATATAACTTCTCCAAAATGGAATTTTTAAATGGAACTCTAGAGTCTTCAATAAAAGTCTAAAATGGAACGCTAGAACGGAACTCTGGAATGAAACCATGGAACGTTACTCGGGGATGGAACTCTAAAATGGATTTTTAGAATGGAATTTTGGAATCGAACTCAAAAATGAAACTGTAGGAAAGTAATATAACTTTAGAATGGAGGGAAGGGAATTCTGGAATGAAACTCTAATTTAAAATCTTTTGAAACGAACTCTGAAATATTCCATTTATTAAATTTCCAGCTACAAATTTTTGCCTAAATTTATTTAACCAAAATAAAACTGAAGATAGTTTTTCCAACAATTTCGAAATATGTTCTTAGCCTTTTTCTATTGATTTCCGATTGATTTTCTCCCAGTGCACCCCACTGACACTTGACACAGGCGTCATAATAAACATGCGTATGTATATGTACGTGCCCCAATACCTACGATAGTCACACACTCATACAAATATCCTGAGCAACAATTTGCAATAAACTGAAGTCACACCAGGATAGGGGGCAAGGCGACACTTAAATTTATTGCACGTGTGTGTGCAGAGGGTGAGTGAGGAGGGTGGAAGGAGGGAGGAGTGTCTCTAATGATGGCATAATTAGCAGCAAACGGCAAATTCTGTCATGCCTCAGGACTCAGTCTCCAAACTCAGTCTCCATCGCAGTTTCCCCCTCGTTCTTGGCGCTTGAAAATGACACAAAGTCAAATTACTTGGCTGGGAAAACCTGTTCATGGAAGCTTGGGGGGTGAAACATGTTAATTGAAAGCCCACTTATTGAAATGAAAACGCGATTCGGAGATTCACACACGGCCAAGTGTATATGCAGAGAGAAAAATTTGCAGAAAATGATGATAAAGAATCAAGGGAAATTAAAGACATATTTTAAAATGAATTTTAATGAAAAAAAATGAAAGAACCCTTACAAAAGTTTAAGAATATCCTTTAAAATATATGTATATTCCAAAAGTAGAAAGCAAACCTTCTTCCTGTGTATCTATTTATATATATATTAACATACCACCGCTCCTTCTGGCTGGACAACAGTCCTGTGTGTTTGCTTGTGTGCGTGTGTTACCAGGACACTCTCGCAACGAGTGGCCATAAAATTTTCTATTTAACGCTTGAGCGACAGTCGAAAATGGTCGGGAAATTTCAGCCCGGACAGATGCTTTAATTTCGAACCTGTTCGACCTCAAATACGATATGAAAGTTTCGTCCTTTTGTTGCAGGCAACCCAGGAGCTGATGCTGGCCAATGTCAAAATGCTGGTCGTCCTGGGCAACAGTTTATTAGGTTGTGTCGCAGCCGTTCCTTAAGATTGCTCCATCCCCCACAGCCGGCCAATGCCGGAATAATCACCTCTCCCAACCACCCACGGTTGTCGCCATCCAAATGCCAGTCATCATCTGAGGCAGAAAGGACAAATACAAGGACGAGGTAGCCAGGACAACGTCTTCAGACATGTCAAATTGGCAGGCAGCTTGAAAATCTCTGCCTTGGCGAAAACAACAATGGGGAAAACGACTAGAACATACCTCTTAGTTTAAGTATTCATCAAGGATTTTGAATAAAGGAAATTTTGGTAACCTTATCAAAGAAATTAGCTATACATTTCCCTGTAATAACTTAAAAAATCTTTTAAAATCTATACATCTTTTCCAGAAAATCTCTGAAATACATTTTTAATGACTTTCCATTTCTGATGTCTATATTTTTTATACTGAAAAGTATCCCTTCTCCTTTATATTTAAAAAAAAAATAAAATAATAAACCTAGATGCAGCTGAGACTGTCAGGAGCTTTGACCATGAGCTGGATAAAAGTAAGGACCTGTCGGTGTCAGAAAAGGTGACACGAGCGAGACAAGGTTACGTTGATAACGATAAAGTGGAAAGTGGAAGTGGAAAATAGAAAAGGGCGGTGAAAAACTGACGAAAAGTCATAGAGCGAAAGCCGAAAAGCAACCCCCAAGGAGGACGAGACGGTACATCTCGTTGCCTTCGTTTCAGGTTATTCATTTTTAATTTCTTCGGCTCAAAAAGTATTCACACACGAGTATGTGAATTTTTTTGGGGTTTTTAACGACATAAAAAGGAAAAGGATACAACTCTCGCCGATTTGTCAGTTCCAACTCATAAGGCAGAGTTAATTTTCGGCCATTTGTTTCAGATTCGAGCACGCTAGATAAACCCTTTCCTTGCACACTCACGACATCTCCCATAATGGGGTTCCCCGGGTCACATATGGCCGGGATTAGTAGAGGAGCACTTGACAAATGAGGTATATGTTCCTGAAAAAATATATATATTTAAGCTGCAAATAAGAAACTCTAGCTTTGAGGGAATCAAGTTAAAGGCAAGAGAAAAGGGGTGACAATTTTATAGAATTTTTTAAGATTTTAATTAGAAATTTAAATAACCCAAAAGGAAATCTTGAAATACCATTTCTTATAACCAAGTACAATCCAGCAGACTTACTCCCTAAACAACAACTTATTTCACCAAACCTTTTAAATTTAAAAACCCCTACTAAGTAGTATAAAAAAGAGTTAACAAAGTCACCGACCAAATAAGAATAAGATAAATAATCTGGAATAAAGACAAGTGATTACATTAAAATCCCAAAAGAGCTTTGGTGAGGGATAATCCCTGTATTTTCCGGGCTGTCTTAGAAGCCATTCGCTAATTGTTTCTATGCTTCATTAGGCGGAGAGGAAAACAAAGGGAAGACAGAGGGGAACAACGTAAGGTGATGAAGAAAGGCGCACGCTCTCTTGGATCGCCGCCAAGCTCATTTAATATGAGCTCGGAAAACTCATTCATTATTCGCACGACTTAAATAAGCTGCTGGAAAACACATCACAAGTTGAAAGTCTTTTTCCCCGAGACCCTTTTTCCGGGTTTCTTTCTCTCCGCGCTGGCGCTTTTTTTCGCTTTCAAGTTTGACCATTTATTTAAACTTTTTATTTTGGCGAGATTTCTATTTGCGCCAAAAGACTCTCCCGGCAATAAATTCAATTCTCCTTTTCGCTATTTTATTTTATTTTATCTTTTTGTTAACCCCTTTAAAGGATGTTTTTTTGTTGGGGCGGGGGTGAATTAATTTTCTTAAAAGCTTTTCTTGGCTGCGCGCTGATTATCCCAGCGTCAGTCTCTGTCTCTTTTTTTTGCCTCGATTTTCCATACCCTTGAAGTGGGCTTAATACTGGGCTTGGTAACGAAATCAGGGCAATATTGTGGCCAAAACAATTCCTGATCTGCATTAACATATTATGGCTTATTGCGGGATATTAAAAAATTAAATGAAAATAAATGTTTTATAATCATTTGTCTATTAAAATAAAATCTATAAACAAACCTTTCCACATACAAACTTTAGCTTTTCTTCCAAAATTTTATTCACCCTTCAAATACTTTTAGTTGAAATTTTTATTAACGAATCTTTGGCACACTACTCAAGTAACTTATGTATGTACAAGTCATCTGATTTGATTTTTTTTCTGTCAGTGTATTTCTGTCTGTGTTTTAGTATATCTCTGATTCAAGTCTGTACTTAAATTTATTTTTAATAAATTTTAAAATATGTATATATTTATTCATTTATTTCGTTTTATTTTTGTCTTGCCCAAAAAAAATGGTATCTTCTTAAACATCTAAAGGTAATGATCTTGCAATAATTATTTATTTAGGAGGGGGAAATACAGAGCAATATATATATATATATATATATATATATATATATATATGTATGTATGTTCAATGTACACAGATCTCGTATCTATATATTCGTATATTTATTATGTGTGAGCGGCCCCCGCCGTCAGCTTAAATATTTGATTCTTAGGGTCATGCTAATTGATTTAAATTCGATATGTGAGCCACTTACATTAGTTGACAAAAAAAAACTAAAAAAAATTACATAATGCAAGGGTTGCTTCTGGAATTCGTCTAGATCGAGTGTTGGAGAATCCGAAATAAAAGAATATTACAAATATATTTATTGGATATCAAGTTTTCATAATGAAAAAAATCGATTATTTAGCCAAAATAAATTTATATCGAAAATGTTGATATTTTGTATGGAATTTGGGTTAAGAATTGCGGCTCAAATTATCATAAAACACAATTAATTAATTATAATATATGAAATTTAAATTAACAAATGTAATTATTTTGTTATTGAAGTATAAATCGATCAATATAAATATTTATCGATAATTTAAATTAAATTTTCTTCGACAAATATATAAAATAAAATATTCTTCGGTTATAAAATATAAGGATTAAATTAACAAAAAAAAATCGATCGATTTATCGATTAATATCAAAGTATATGGACATAGATAAGCTTTTTATGTAGAAAATACATTTTAACATATATAAACTTATCGCTTGATCGAGGCATACATTGATTAAGATCGATATTTAAAGATATACTCTTTCAAATAAAACAAAATCGATAACAATCGATACTTTTCAAACATCAACACCAAGCTTTTAACAAATTCCAGCTACAATCCCCGCCCAGTTGCGATATGGCGACTATTCACTACACCACAATCGAACTGTCTCTATATATTTTAGCCTTGACTGGCCTAGGTGTTCCGCTTTCCGGCAGCACCACCCACTGCGTTGTCACCACCGCTGCCGCCGCCGCCGCTGTCGCCAAGGTCATGTCCTTGGGCCGCCAGGCAAGTGCCAAGCAAGGCGGCCGCCAGCCGCTAGTAGGGGCGCCACACATCCCCTGATGGTTTGGGGGTCCGTGTCCTTATGGGACCACCGCCCAGGCCCACACCTACGGCCCCGTCCACACCCACGCCTACGCCAACGCCCAAGGTGCCAAGACCCAGGCCGCCACCGGAGGAACCACTGGCTGATCGCGAGGTGGTGCTCACATCGTCCAGATCAATGGTCTCCACGGGTGATGGCGATTGCCGCGTGGAGCTAACCGGCGGCGAGGCATTCGGATTGGCATTCTCTGCATCCGGGGGATTGTGCGTGATCAGGGTCACACACCGTTTGATTAGATTGACGCCGTCGTGATCCGGATTGCCCAATCCCGTCGCGGGTAAGGACGATCCATTGCCACTGCCATCCAGTACACGTTCGGGAGCCACGTTCGCTGCGGCCGCTGCCGCCGCATTCCTCAGCCAGGGTAGATCACTGTAGTTGCCATACAGCTGGCTGTAGAGCCACTGGCTTGACTGCGGCAGCAGGGGGCTCTGAAGGAACAGCTGGGCGGCCAGGGCGGGATTGAAGCTATGGCTGGGGGCAAAATGGCCGCCGGTAGCTGCTCCAAAGCCACCGAACAGATCCGTGGGATTCTTGCTGCGCTGAATGAGGGCGGTGAAGGCGCCACCCGATCCTGGTGAACTCTCGCCCAGGGATCCCGCCGTAGGGCCACCGCCGCTGTTTAGTCTATTTGTAGCCGCTTCCGTTTCTGCTTCTGCTTCTGCCTCAGCATCCGCATCCGCTTCCGCCTCCTCCTCGTCGTGGGTGAGCGGTGAGCCCTGCTGACTCTTTCGCGGCGATCCTGTCACGGAAATACTATCGCTCTCGAAGCCCGCATCAATGTTGCTGTTGTTGTTATTGTCCTGCCGCAGCAGGGTCAGAGGCGGCGGCGGCGACGAGGTTAACGGGGGCTGCACAAAGGCGCTTAGCTGCGTGCCACTGGTGGTGGTGGTGGTCGGCGATCCCTCCGGACTGGTGGTGCTATGCGCCAGCTGTTGGTGGTGTTGCTGTTGCTGTTGCTGCTGCTGCTGGTTATCTGTGGGCAGGAAAGGAATATTTTTATATATTTTATATATCTTTGATCCTTAAGGAGCCCAAACTCACCACTCAATCCCCGCAAGGTGCTGGCCGTTGGGAAGGCGGCCGCTGCATGGTGTCCGAAGAAGGGGGCGGCGGGAAAAGCGGCCGGACGACCGCCCAAGGTCATGTGGGCACGCCAGTCGGGCGCATGCAGGTGACTGTGCATCCCCACCAGGTGATGAGCGAATCCTGCAAGGAAAGATGTAACAAAAGTTGTGTTAAAATTATGTATTTATTAGGTATGGATTTATCATGTAATTTTCATGTCTTATTAGGTCTATATCGTGTCACCAGACGATTCAATCTAGCCAGGTCTGCACCTGTCCGTATAAAGACCTAGATCTCAGAGACTATAGAGCTACCAAATTTGGCGATGGTTAGGCATATTAGGCATTAAAAAATACCAAATTAGTCATTAAAATCTATGGAGTTAATATACAAGTTAATATAACAGTAAGTATAATAGTTATTATAACAGTTATTATAATAGTTATTACAATAGTTATTATAATAGTTCATAAAATATACTTTAGTTAGTTTCTAGAGAATTTTGTTGTATGAAAACCGAGTTGTACTCATGTCATGAACTAGTGTGTCTGGAAAATCAGAAAGGTAGGCTCTGGAAAATCTGTTATAAACTTTTACAACGAAACCTTCTGGGTCCACGTTAGGTCGTAAAATCCAAATTTTATTTTCTTTAAGAAAAAAAGAGAAAAAGCTGGAGGACAGAAGAGGAGCACAAGTAACTTAATACAGACCAAGGTACATAAGGGATAATCATGTACAAAATTTAATTCCAGAACTCATATAACCCCAGCCTTAGCAACACTCATAGGGCAAGGTAAGGTAACGTAGGCAAACGACAATGTCCTCGCCGCCCAAGTCCCCGAGGTCCTTGCCACAGAGGCCTACTAGGACCTTGGCGCCTAGGACCTCGCCGCCTAAGACCTCGCCGCCCATGTCACCGCCCCCGCGGCCCATACAACCTTCCCAGCCGAAGGCAAGGTCCACGGGCTCTCAACAGACGGCAAATCAGCGGGCACCAACTCGCAAGGCGGCAATGGCCCCGGCGCCCAAGTCGCCCAGGTCCTTGCCGGCCAAGTCCAAGTTATCCAAGTCCTTGCCGCTCAGGTCTCCGCCGCCCAGATCCGTAAAGCCCATTTCACCGCCGCCGTTCAAACAACTACACCCACCGGTGTCACACTCCACAGGCTCCCTTCACCAGGGGACACCACCTCAAAGGGCGGCGTTGTCCCCGGCCCCCATGACACCCAGGTCCTTGTCGCCCATGACGCGGCCACCGCCGACGCTCAGATCACCGCCGCCGCTCAGGCCACCGCCAACGATCAGGTCACCACCGCCGCTCAGGTCACCACCGTCGCTAACGTTACCGCCGCCTGTCAAATCACCGCCGCTGCCCAGGCTCTTACCGCTCATCTCATCGCCGCCGTCACTCAGGTCACCGCCGACACTCAGGTCACCGCCGCCTCCCAGGCTCTTGCCACCCAGTTCCTCGCCGCTCAAGTCACCGCCACCGCCCGTTCAACCGCCCCAGCCAAAGTCCACGGATCCATGGACACCACGTCGAAAGGAGGGGATGTTCATGCCGCCCATGTCACCCAGATCCTTGCCGCTCAAGTCACCACCGCCCAGGTCATTGTCGATGTCCCCGCGATGTAATCAGACCGGCAACAGCAGCCGGAATGGGGATCCAGGACGCATGCCAAAAAAGAGGCTTCCTGATCCCGCCAATATGAATATCCTGAAGGCCGCCTTGCGAGTGGTCCATGAGATGGACTCTGCCAATCTGAAGAAACTGCAACGTCATTTGCGCTGTCAAATGTCTGATTACAATTCAAGATGTTAACTATACTATTTAGTCACATCAGAATTCCAAAAAATTAATTTTTATCAAGACTTTTTTCCACAAGAAAGCGCCATACTTTAATACTCAACAAATGTATGTTAAATTAAAGGTATAATTATAATTATTAAATGTCCTTGGGAGTTAATGTCTTTTATTTAGAATCGAAGGATAATCCGGACCAGACAGGAGCCACAGATTGGCAGAGCCAGGGGGACAATGCCAAGACCAATAGCCCCGAAATCTCTCACAAAAAAAAGGGCAAAGGACAAAGGCCAAGATTGGAGAAATGAAAGAGAGGGAGATGGAGCCGTGGCCAGCAGCCTCGTCTCGACCACATATAGCCCACTGTGCAAGACCAAAAATGCTGCCGCACATTTTGGTTGCTGCAAAACAACACCGACACACACGGGGGTGGTGGCCAAGAGGAAGCCCCTCCGAAGGCGGCCATTGCTGCTTATGTATAGAGCAAGACCAGGGACCGAGTGTGTGTGTGTGTGAGTCCACCTGCCCCAAGACAAACTCCTAAATAAATTCATTAAAATTATACCCCAGCCGGCGGCGGCGATGCGACGACGGCGATGGCATCTCACTCGCTTTGTTTCCGTCTCCCTTTGGCTGCCTCTGGCCAGGTCCATGTGGCCGCCATCAAGTGGCAGCCCACAGTTGCGGGCAGAAGGGCCAAGGAACTGCCACTGCCACTGCCAGTGCAATGCTCCTTCAGGCCTTGGGATTGAGGATTCAGGACTCTCTCTCTCTCCTTGCCAGAAGATGCCAGAGACATGGAGACATGGGGCACACTGAGCAAATATTAAGTATACGCCACCGAGGCACCTATAAAAAGTCTTAAAATGTCTAGCTAATTTTAATTTTTATTTAAATATTTAGCTTATTAATAAATGTACTAATTAATACATATATTTATTACAACATTAATGTCAGACCCCTATTTTCTTTCCGTGTAAACTGGGGACAAGGAGACTGGCCAAAAGCTTAAGAAAATGCCAAGACGAAGCTACGACATGGAGAGCCAGAGAGAGACAGAGAAAACGAGAGAGAGAGAGAGAGAGAGAGAGCTGAGAATTCTCCGCCAGTCGACCGACCACAATACACTCACATGCTCCGCACTCGCTTACTCTCTCTCTCTCTTTCTCTCTGTCTCTCCCCCTCTCGCTCACTCCCAGCTAGCTATCTCTTTCGGCTGGCCTGTCTCCGTCCCGCTTTAACACACTTAAGGCCAAATACTTGGCCAAGTTTTGCCAAAGTTTGCAAACCAAAATTTCACCGAAAATGTGACACCAACGAACCAACCAAACGAACCACTGCTGCACCGCCTTCCTCCGCTTTTCCACACACATTTTGGATGGCATTTTCCCCCACTTTCCACCTCCCACCGCCGCCCCAATGTGTCTGCTGAGACAGCATCCTCGTCTTGAGGCAGCTGGCTAAGGTTTGCCTCTGGTGCATTACTTGATTGGCATTGCTGCATGACATTTTCCATTTTCCATTTTATGTTTTCCACCTACCTCCCTCCCCACACGCACACATAACACATACACACACTTATAGCCATTGAGATCGGTTTAATAGTGGGAAACTGGGTCAAACAAGCAAAAGTTGTCATCATCATCTCAACGTTTCTCAGTCTGGCCTCGTCTTTTTTGACAATGCAAAACTTTGACTCAGTCAAAACAAAGGACTGGAAAAAACAATCAATGAAGAAGAGGGTGGGGGAGAAATTTCCTAAAAGGTAAATGGGTTTTCCCTGCACTTATAGGTACTATATAGCCATATAGATGTCATTGAGAAAGCAACTTTCGTCGAGGGGCCATTGTCTGCCCGAAGAAGAGCCCTTTTGAAATTGCTCAAGTTTTTGCATTAATTGTGCCAGGCACAAAGGAGGAGATTTAGGGGAGTCCCATATAATAATAGCATTAGGATATATTAAGAAATGATTTGAGAAACTTGATTATTTTTGGAAATTTTTAAAGGATATAGTAGTTCAATCCGGCCAGTTCAGACATTTAAACTATGTACCCTCATTAAAAATAAGAATATTTGTAAATGTTTGCATATTTGTAAAAGTTGCGACAGAAACAGAGAAAACGATATGTCTAGATCAAGGCGGCTGTTGATGCTGATCAATTATATATGTATGTCGCATATGTCTTCTTTACTTTTTAAATGTTATTGAAAACACCTTTCTTACAAAGAGTCATTGAGTTAAGTCAATGTTGACGGACTTTACATTCTAGTCTCAAAAAGTAATGCCAAGTTTTAAGTACAAATATACATATTTAATATTGCCTTAAATGTTTTCTACATTTTTAAATTAAAACTTCTATAGGTTTCACCAACTGGTAACAACATTTTTATAGTTTGGCCATAGTTTTGTGTCACACAAAATGGCAGCAGTTACAGCCCGCAAAACGGCGACGATCGCCAGTTGGGGGGGGCGTCTAGAAACTTCTGCATAGTTAGCCCTTCCCACCCCTTCCCACCCCTTCCAACCCCCACCTAATCACCCTTCCTCCTATCCCCCCCTCCTGGCTTTTTTCCACTATTTTTCTCTCGTTTTCCCTGCCTCTCTTTATGTTAAACCCACTCTATTTTTTTGCAGCTTCTTTATATTCCCAAACCTTTACCTCCGGGAACCCCCTAAGCACACACACACACAGACATATAGAGAAATCGGTACCGCCCACGATTTCGAGTGCTACTTAAAGTTAGCGCCAACGCTGACTGCGACGTTGACTGCGACAGCGACTTTGGCAGCGACTGCGGCAGAGACAGCGGCAGACCATTGAGCAAATTGTGTTTTCCATATAATATAACATCACGTCGATTTTGGGTAACCCAAAACTATGTACATATGTATGTCCAAGGCCCCCTCCCCCCACCCCCCACCCAGCTAGAAAGAGAGAGAGAGAGTGTGAGAGAGAGAGAGAACGTGGAAGAAAGAGACACAGAGACCCGGGAGTGAGAGAGAGAAAACGAGACCCCATAACTGCAACCTAAATATGCGGTCCTGTAAGGAAACCCTATGTGCGATAAAGGGTTAGCCGCTTTTGGTGTCAGTTTTGGGTTTGCCATTCCTCGGCTTTCGGCCGCCGCTTTCCCGCCGCTTTTCCCCCACTTTTTTCCATCTCCAAGTTTCGTTATTCGTCGATGGTTCTGTCTGTGTATGGGTATTCCCATTTGGGACAGGCTCAAAGTCGCCTCCCACGGCGACTCTCGGAGTTCTCTCTCTCTTCCCGCAATTCTTGGCCCCCGTACATGAGTGAGTGTTGGTAGGTGTATCGGTGTGTGTGTCCTGCTAAGTGTGTCGGTGTGTAAGAGCATAACGCGGTGCCATTGGTGCGCCGCAAAAAGCTTTCATGAGTCCGGCTTTCTTTTTTTCCCTTTTCTCTGCTTCGCTTTCTTTTCTTCTAGATTTTCTATTTTCATATTCTTTTTTTTCGCTTTTTTTTTGGGTACCGCAATGTGGGGAGATTCTGGTTGGTTGGCAGAAGGAGAAGAAGAAGGAGATGGAGGAGCAGAGGAGGTAAAATAAGCCTGTTTATGGGGCGTATACTTGATGCAGCTGCTGGGAAAACTTAAGGAAAAATAGGAATACAGCACTTTGGTCAATGAATCAGGATTATCACAGACATTTTCCATGATTTTAATACACTTCTATAGTTTGGGAATTTAAATTCTTAATTTTTAAAAATATATTTGTGGGATTTTGTTTCCTTTTTACAGCTTAGAATAAAATTAAATTCAATTCAAAAATATGAAAAAAACTATTAATTTAAGAAACCATTTAATAATAATTCTATTAACACTTTATATGTTTTTAAATATTTATTTAAATATGTTATTATTATATTAAAGTATAAAAAGAAAGGAAAAGAAGCAAGGATAATATATTTTAAATAAAAAAATTAAAATTATAACATCATATTTAAGAAAACATAAATATAAACAGCTGAATAAATATCTAAAAAACTGTTTTAAGATAATATTTAAATTATGACACACTTTTCTTTTCGAGGGAAAGCCTTTAAAAATTAAAGAAAGCTTTTTAAGTATGGAACTAAATACATATATATATGTATGTATATGTATGTATTATAGGAATATAACCTGATTTTTAAGAGAATAAACAAAATTAATAATTATTTAATAATTATTTAATATATAAAATATAATACAATAAATAAAATAAATTCTGTAAAACGTTGAAAAAATCAAAAAATATTTAAGAAGTATTAAAATTATATAAAATAAAATAAACAAAATGTTAACAAATAAATTTAGATAAATTAAATGAAATTTCAAAAAAAAAAACAAAAATATTATAAAATTTAAAACCTTAAAATCTAATTTTAAATAAAAAGAAAAATCTCTCAAGACTTAAATTACAATTCATTTACTATTTCCCGGTAATAGTTATTTCCCAGCGACTTGCCGTCGGCAAATGCTCAGCAATTTCCACGCCACCGACGGCATTTCGCTTCCGTTGGCTGGGCGGAAAATACCACCCACCGGCGGAAAAGTCCACCCGACCATCCAACGAACCGCACGCAATGAAAACGAAAGGCGCGCCCGAAAAGCAGCAAAGAAAATTGGAAAAGCAAAACAAAAACAAAAAGCAAAGGAAAAAAACTCAACGGCGCGCAACAATTTCCCACCACAAGACGTTGCCTTGGAAAAACAGAAGCGCCGAAGAAAAAAGAAACGTAAAAAAAAGGAAGGCAGCAAGCAAAAACGAAATGGAAAAGTAAAAGAAAACCAAGCCGGTTTTCTAACTCACCACAAAATAAGGGAAAAGCAGGGGGTGGTGGCGGGGGTGGTGCTACCGTTGCCGATTTTCCCGACTTTGAGCCAGGCCGACGAATCAGGGGAAATCGTCGTAGTATATGGTTCACATTTTCACTCGAAATGGCTCCAGTTTCACTCGAAAATTGTGAGAGCAGAAAACTCGAGTTATGCGCCGACGCCGAACGTAAATACAAACACACACTCAAAGGGAAAAGCGACGCCGACGAGCGTCGGAAATGCGAGCAATGTAAGGAAATTCTGTTGCTGTTTTCCCTTTGCTGCATTTTGCTGCTTTTCAGCGCGGACACCGCGTTGGCTGT